GGGCCGGCGCGGGGCTTTAACCCGGAGGCCCCGCCTCTCGGGCGTACAAAACCGGAGCCTCGGGCCGGGCCGCGTGAGGGAGGAGGGTGAGTGCCCGCCACTGGCCGCAGCTGCCGCCAGTCCGTCCGTCACTCCGTCCGTCTGTCCGACCCACGTCGTCGCCGCCGTCGCCTCCTCAGCCCGGACGCCCGGGGCCCGCCCAGCGCCGCCCGGAGCAGCCGCGGCCCCGCGAGGAGACGGGCGCCGCCCCCGCCCGGCCCTGCCCTGCCCTGTCTTCCCGTCTGTCCGTCCGTCCGTCCGCCCGCGCTTCCGTCCTTGTGTCGGGCCGCCGGCCCTCCGGCCCTCGTCCCCGCTGCGCCCGCTTTGTCTCTCCCCAGCTCGCTGTCTCTTTGTCTCTGCCCTCGCGCTCTCGGCCCCTCCCTCGCTCCGGGATCTCGGGTCCCCTTTCCCAGCGCTCCTCTCCTCCTCTCTCACGGCCACGGGTTCTGGCACCCCCATTCTTCGGGACACCCCCCCCCCTAGATCTTTGGGAGCCTCGCCTTCAGAACACGCTCCACTCCCCCAGGCCTCCCCTGAGCTTACCACACATCCTTTGGGGGGGTCCTCCTTGATTCCTGGGGGTTGCCTCCACCTCCACCTACTCCATATTTCCCCAGGGGTTCCCTCTTCTCCGGGGCCTCCAGAGACCCTTCTGCATCCCTTAGTGGTTTCCTTGAGCCCCAATATCTCCCCAGCTCCCTAACTTCAGAGCCACTCTGCCTTTCCACATCTGTCCGCTGTGGCTGTCACTGCCTCTCCTTGTTGTCCGAGCGCCCCACTTCTCTGGACCCGGCCCCCCGCCTCGCTCTCCCTGCCTCTCGTCCGTGCATCTGTGTCAGTGGCCTCACTGCTCCGTCTCCGGCCTTGGCGGCCTCCCTCCGAGCCTGCTCCTCTCCCGGGGGCGATCTTGCTCCCTTGCTTCTCCGCCCGACCCCCTGTCACCCCTTCTCTCTGCTCCTTGTCTCTCCCTCTCCCTTTTCTGTCTCTGCCGGGTCTCTGGGTCTCTGACCCCCATCCGGCCCTCATGGCTTTGTGTCTGGAGCTCTTGAAGCAATGTGAGTGGTGGGGTGTCCGGGTCGGGCCGGGCGGAGTCATCCCGCAGGCTGGCCGCGGCCGAGGCTCCATGGGGTTGGCGCTGGGGCAGGGGCTGGCGCTGGGGCAATGAGGCTTGGGGCCTCTAGACCAGGGAGACCAGGATGGTGGGGCCAGGCTGTCTGGCGAGGGGGGAAGAAGGGGGCCTTCCTGCTCCGAGGCTTCTGCTTTAGTTGCTTGAGTGTGTGGAGGGCGCCCTGGGCTGGGTATCCCTGCTGGCTTGGCCCTGCATGGCCTGGCACTTTGTGATTGCTTGTGGGCAGGCCTGGGCTATTTTGGAGCCTACCGCAGGATGTGATATCACTTGGGCGTTTATTTAGACCCAGCTGGGGGTGGGGGCTGCGTTCTTGCCAACTTGAGTAAGGAAGTTTTGCAGGGAGGGGGTGTGGCCTCTTAGGCAGCTGGGCTGTAGGGTTGTGGTCAGAACTTTTGAGGCTGCCCTGAGTGGGCAGGTGAACAGAGGTCTGTGAAACTTGGTCTTGCTAGGACCAGGATGAATTGGAGAGGAACTGACCTTACTATGACTATGACCACCCTTGATTGTTGTGTTGGATGTCTTCGACTCTGAATTCTTGGTTGTACCAGCTTCAAGGGGGGGTTGACTTTGGATGAGACCCTTGGACTCTCTCAGTCTCAGCTGTCCCATCTGTAAAAGGGGTCATGGGGGAGGCTCCAGGAGTTGTCATGAAGACCAAGTGAAGCCTCTTTAGACGCACTTTGTAAATGTCACCCTGCCTTGAAACAGCCCCAGGGAGAGAAACTTTCCTGCCAGGGTACAGAGCTGGTGCCCGCAGAGCAGGGAGAGGCCCCCGACTCAAGTCCACCCCTACCGGTTAAGAAGTGTACCCACCTTTCCAGAATCCCCAGTGCCGTTTTGCTCTTCCTCGGTCTGTAAGGAGAAGTGGGTGTGCCCAGAGAGGTGCCTGTGCTGGAGAAGACTCAGGTCTTCTGTGGGCCATCTGTTGTTTAAAGTTGAACCCTGCTTAGATGGTGAGACCTGGAAGCAGAGCCAGCCAGTGTATGGTTGTGAGCCACAGCTGCTTGTCTCTGTGGTGGACAAAGGTCCTAGTTGAAGGGTTCCATTGAGAGCCGGGATCTCCTGTCAAGGGCCCTAGGATGTTCTAGAATCTTGGAACAGGGAGTGACACCAGATAGTGTAGTCCCTGGTTCTTACAGATAAGATGAGGTCAAGAAGAGTCAGGATGCATGGAGGCTTGAACCCCTGTGTCCTGTTCATGGCCCTGCCTCTGAAGTCACTGCTTTGCTGGTGTCACCAGTGGTATCTGACAGTGTAGGCAACCTTGGGGAACAACAGTCTGTACCACAGAGGGGACAGTAAGGCACAAGTATAATAACAAATTCTAACACCCATGGATCTTTTTCTATGTGCCTTGTACTAGGCACAATCCATGGGTTGCCTGCATTTGGGAGGTAAAAGGGCTTGATACCTGGCCCAGAAGTGAAGAAGTCAAGATTCCAATCCACACATCTCAGGTGGTGACCCTCCCTAATTAAATTGGAATAACAAGTCTTGTCCTAAGATTAATTCTAAAATGATAGAATCCTTTAAAAAAGGGGGGTGGGGGGGTTGCAAGGCAGAATGCCAAGGTTCTGTTCTCAGTTCTGGTGCTAAACTGCTGCGTGACTTCAGACAGTTGGTCTCCTGGTGGTTCTCTGCTCTTCCCTCTGAAGAATGGGGGAGTTGTTTGGATCAATCTCTTGGGTCTTTGCAGATGACATTTGAGATTCTCAGGCCACCTGTGCATCTCTGTGCCCTACCATTTACAAGTATCCCTGATCACAGAGTAAGGAAGGAGAGTGTGCTGAGTGCTGCCAGCTGCGTACTAATGACAGCTGTGGGCTTTTATGGGAGAGGGCTGTGTGGGTTGGCAAGGCTTCCGGGAAGGGGTAGTATTTGAGCTTAGTCAGCATACCGGACAGATCAGCCTCTTACACAGGTGATGCAGAGTGGAAATAATGTGGGAAATAAAATTAAAGCCATTCATACCTGGTTCTAATCACTCTCATCCCATGCCTCCGCTGTCTTGGGCAAGTTACTTTCCTTGACCTCTAGTTTCCTCATCGAACTCTGAAAAATCACTTATAGAATTGGGGTGGGAATTAAATGGAATTACACATATATAAGTAAAGGCCTGTATACAGTAGGCACTCGATAAATGTGAGCTTCTTTCCTCATAATATCTGGATCCGATTTTTCCTTATGGGAACAAGACATCCCCAACCTCTCCCCTCACCCTTGTGGTTGGGGAAAGTACCTCAGACGTTCAGTAGTGAGCAGTAGTTATGGGAGTGTTCTCTCCTCTCCGGGGCCTTGTGAGGATTCGGGAACGCACCAGCTCTTTCCTGACCATTGCTCCTCACAACAGTCAGAAGCCAGGGACCTTTTCCCTGTTTCACCAGTGAAGAGCAGGGGCCCACAGAGGGATGTGGACCCACTCTGGGTCTCACAGCATGGCACTGTCTGAGCAGTCTTGGGCCTCCTGACTTTGTCAGACCACAGCATTGCTTCAGAGTTGACTGCTTGTGCCCGGTAGCCTGTCACTTAGCTGCCTGTTGTGACACCTGTTGTGCTAGGGCTTGTCTGACATTTCTCCAGTCTCTGAGCTCATCTCACATTTAAAGGCTTGAGGTGGGGCGGGGACTTGAGTCATCGCCGCCCCTGACTTTTCATCTTGAGCAGCAACCAGACCTTCCCCAGGGCCACTGTCTGATGGAGCTGCCACATGCCTTCAGATTTTCCTCCCAGAAGCTCAGTGGACTTGGGAAAGGATCTCCCTGTCTCTGGGCAGAGGTTGCTGGGGTGGCCCTGAATGCAGGTCTTCACTCCCCAGGGCTCCATACTGAGAAGCTACTGCTTGGCTAAGCCTTGCTTGTGCCTTACTGTCCCCTCTGTGATACAGACTGCTGTTCCCCAAGGTTGCCTACACTGTCAGATACCACTGGTCCACAAAGTCCCACCTGGCTCCAGTTGTCAGCTCAGTTCTAGGTTCATATACTTGCCTAAATTGTGACTTAAGCAGGTCACTTCATCTGTGGTTCAGCCTCCTCATATATAAAATTCTGATTCTTCATCTATATAGATGTCAGTTTCCTAAGCTCTGTCCCCAGAGATCCTCATTTGCCAGGTCTAGGACAGGAGTGAATCCTGTGAGAGCCTGTTGGCTGCACAATGGGAAAAGCTGAACTGGGAGTAGCCAGCGCTTAGTGATGGTCTCCTCGGGCCTGTTGTCTGGCCCTGGACCTATCAGTCTTCTGTGCCTTGGTTTTCTTTCTGCCAGAGTAAGATGGAAATACCTGCCCTGTTAGTGGTCCCTTGAGAAGTGACGGTTACTGCTATCAGCCTTGCTTTGGGCAGGCCTGGTTATTTGTGGCAGCATGTCACCTTTTCCAGCTGAGCCTTCCTGGCAGCAGGCACTATCGGGGCAGTCCAGGCTAATGACTGTGGAATGGAACACCTGAGCAACAATGAAATCCAGTCATCAGCAGCAATTTAATGAGGTCGATGAGAGGTGTTCAGTGTGAAGGCCGCTCAAGTTCCCGGGTTTCCCAGTGCTGGCTGGGGCTGCGTTTCCTGACTCAGCCTGGGCTGGATTCTGCTGCTTTCCTCTCCTACCCATTTCTG